CGTTTTCAGAAAAGGCAAAGTGTGCACTTGCAAAGAAGTCGATTAACAATTTTCGCCTGCGAGCCCGAACTACTTACAGCTGCGCTCCGCCTCGTTCGGATTTCACAGATTTGAAGAGTAGATTGAAGATCGGGTCCAAAAAGACTAGTGATATATGTCTACAAGCGGCCATTTCAACCTGCGATTCTTTTCTCGGCAGGCTGCTTTCATATTTTACGCCGGTGCGGACAGTGTGGACACTAGCGAAGGTGCGAACAGCGTCTATAAGATGCTTGCGCATGATATTTAGCGCGCAGTCGGCAGTGCTTCTCCAAATAAGCTCCAACGTCTCCATCATGCCAAGCACCCGATACTAGTGCTCTTCGCACTTTTCGCAGTGCCTGCAGTCCTAGATGGGAGACGCGGATGACGGGATGCCATGCCTACTGTCTGTTATTTGAGGGGCAACTGGAGAGGAGAAGGGGAATTCGGTGATATTCAAGCGGGGAGGGATGTATTCGACGAAGTGACCGTACTTCTGGATAGCCTGGGAAGAAATTCTCTGAGAAGTCGAAACAGTTTTCACTGGTTCAGAGAAATTTCGGAAGATGCGAATCCACCGATTTCAGCAATCCACCCTCCCTTTGCGTTTCCTACTCTCTCGAGAGTTTCACCAGTTATTTCGGTAAACAGCAACAGCTGGAGGGGATCATCAAAGTTTTGAAATCGTTATACGCAATAGCAGACCTTTCAAAGGAGGGAGACGGAACAGTTCGTGGTTGGCGGATAGCCTGTACTCACCAATCATAAACCTGCCTCCCACGCGTCTCACAATCAGGGTCAAGCGTGCGTTGAGGATTTCCTCAACGATGACTCACGCTCACTGCCGAGAGTGAACGTACGCGCGGAGAGCACAGACGGCTCGGCATGGCGAGTGTGAATGTCCGCGCGAGAGAACGTGTCTGATCGGGCAGAGAATCCTCGACGTGCCGTTGAGGAATCCTCAACGCATATTCACCCTGCTCACAATCAGAGCAAGTTGTGTAACAAACACTGCAAAGGATTGTTGATCTGGGTTATTGTTTTCTTTTCACCAACTTTACAATATGTGGGTGGTTTTCCGGTATCACTTCATCACAGCTCTTTCGTGCACAAAAGTTCATGCCAAAAAACGACAGATCCACGTCTCAGTTTCTCATCAGTGTGGACTACTTTCCATGTCGCTCGCATTCTTAGGTTTCTTGTTTTGTGACGAATACTGGGCCGTGTTCGTAAATATGGGCTACTTGGCCGTAGCTCTTTTTTTCTTTTTGGTTTTGCGTTTCTTCTCATAGAGTTCTTTCATAATTGAACACCTCCTTTGTGTTTTATTTGTAACCTGATCATCGTAGTTGAACGATGTGCTCCACTTCCAGATCACCGCAGACTTCCAGCACCACCACATATGTTGTGCCGCCGTCGTTCAGTGTCAGTCAAGCTGTTCCTGGACAATGGCATTTAGCCAACACTTGGTCAGTGTTCCTTCATTTATTGTTTTTTTAATTTTCTGTTTTCGGCGGTTCTCTCCTACTTTTCATGATATATAACTATTTTACAACATCTACAACTTTCGGCACTGAATTTGTATAAATGATGTTACCAAATTTTGTCAAAAATGTAGACGGTGTAAGAGGAACAAAGTCGCGCTTCCATCTCCGAACGCATTTCTTAAGTCTGGATCTTCAGCTTCATAAGTCGCGCTAAACATGTAATGGGCTTGACTAACCCTGGTTAGTACCCTGGTAACGAGGTTATAGTATCCCCGTTCATACAATATGTGCCACTATTGCTCTTGAATTCACGTTCCTCGGTTGGATCATTTGTCACTTCTCCCCCCCTAATGGTGTCGCTGCCTCCGCTATTGCAGAGATAAGGTCATGTTTGCGGCAAAAAATGCGTGGGATGCGTGCTAGGAAGTCAGAATTTAGATAAACGCACACTCATGAACCAGTACACGCCCACCGTTGCGCTGCCTATGTCTAACTTCACACAATACTGTCTCTTCCCTATCGCTGTTACTCACCTTGGCGCCATTCTCTCTTAAATT